GATTAGAGACGCGACCCGAGAGACACAAACCAGAGCATCAGAGCCTCCTCGCGTCTCCATCATTCCTCCGTCCCGCAGAACCGAACACACACACCGATACCGAGCCGAACACACAAACACCGATACCGAGCCGAACATACACACCGATACCGAGCCAAACAAACACACACACACACACACACACACCGATACAGGGAACACCGAGCCGAACACACACACACACACACACACACACACACCGAGCCGAACACACACTGATACCGGGAACACCGAGCCGAACACACACTCTGAGCCGCACACCCGATCCCGGCAGATGGACGGAACACACGAGCTCTGACGGAGATCTTCACTCGTGGATGTTCGGCTCGGTTCGGAGGTTCGATCGCTCGCTATTGTTCGGATGTGCGACGCTGAGAATCAAAGAGTCCGATTGATTCCCGAGCGAACATGAATTATTCTGCTCTCCGGTGGGGTTCATGGCCGTGCTTCTTCATCTTCATCTTCATCATCGTTCAGGTGCGTGTTTTATTTTAATCTATAGGTATTAAATGAGCGGTTATATGGAGCGTTCATTACACACACACACACACACACACACACACACGCGTCATTAAATCAGCTCGTGTCTGGCCAGATTCGAGGGTGTGTGTGTGTGTATGTCGGAACTGATGAGTTACACGATCAAAATCTGCTACAATATTCCTGCAGGCGAATCTGGGTCACACAGATGTGTGTGTGTGTGTGTGTGTCTCTGTGTGTGAAGCATCAGTCGGCTTTCACTCACGGTTTCTGCTGCACAGGAAATTAAACATTTTTTCTATAAAAATAACTATATATTATATCATAATTTTTTATTATACATTTATTTGGATATTATTATACTAATATTAGCCTATGTTTTCTATGGGATATTGATAATATTATTATGCAATTTTTATTAGGTTATTAATATAATGCTATTTTTAAGATATTATTATATTTATTATCAAACAAGTAATATAGTAGAAGTAATAAGTATAGTATAACTATAAGTAATAAGGCTTAAAGCTTATTTAGAGTCAGCATTTTTCAGTCAAAGTCTGCAGGAATTTTCCAGTCGATGTTCAAAGGTGTGTGTGTGTGATTGGGAAAGATGAATAACCTGACCTGAGAGTCAGACGTGACTCAGGATCAGTGAATATGACTTTATGACACAAGTTACACAGTTCAGTTCAGGCCTTCGGATCAGTTGTGTACTGTGTGTTTCCTCTCGGGAACATGAACAACTGAAGATTAATGGGGATCACAGTCTTCAGTCTTCACTCTTTAGTCTTCAGTCTTTAGTCTTCAGTCTTCACTCTTGAGTCTTCAGTCTTCACTCTTCACTCTTTAGTCTTCAGTCTTTAGTCTTCAGTCTTCACTCTTGAGTCTTCACTCTTCAGTCTTCACTCTTGAGTCTTCACTCTTGAGTCTTCACTCTTCACTCTTCACTCTTCAGTCTTCACTCTTCACTCTTCACTCTTCAGTCTTCACTCTTGAGTCTTCACTCTTGAGTCTTCACTCTTCAGTCTTTACTCTTCACTCTTCAGTCTTTAGTCTTCACTCTTCAGTCTTCACTCTTTAGTCTTCACTCTTGAGTCTTCACTCTTGAGTCTTCACTCTTCAGTCTTTACTCTTCACTCTTTAGTCTTCAGTCTTTAGTCTTCAGTCTTCACTCTTTAGTCTTCACTCTTCAGTCTTCACTCTTGAGTCTTCACTCTTTAGTCTTTACTCTTCACTCTTCACTCTTTAGTCTTCAGTCTTTAGTCTTCAGTCTTCACTCTTGAGTCTTCACTCTTCAGTCTTTACTCTTCACTCTTTAGTCTTCAGTCTTTAGTCTTCAGTCTTCACTCTTTAGTCTTCACTCTTCAGTCTTCACTCTTCACTCTTTAGTCTTCACTCTTTAGTCTTCACTCTTCAGTCTTCACTCTTGAGTCTTCACTCTTCAGTCTTCACTCTTCAGTCTTCACTCTTCAGTCTTCACTCTTGAGTCTTCACTCTTGAGTCTTCACTCTTCAGTCTTTACTCTTCACTCTTCACTCTTTAGTCTTCAGTCTTTAGTCTTCAGTCTTCACTCTTTAGTCTTCACTCTTCAGTCTTCACTCTTGAGTCTTCACTCTTCAGTCTTCACTCTTCAGTCTTCACTCTTGAGTCTTCACTCTTCAGTCTTTACTCTTCACTCTTCAGTCTTCACTCTTTAGTCTTCACTCTTGAGTCTTCACTCTTCAGTCTTCACTCTTCACTCTTCACTCTTTAGTCTTCACTCTTCAGTCTTCACTCTTCACTCTTCACTCTTTAGTCTTCACTCTTCAGTCTTTACTCTTCACTCTTCACTCTTTAGTCTTCAGTCTTTAGTCTTCAGTCTTCACTCTTTAGTCTTCACTCTTGAGTCTTCACTCTTCAGTCTTCACTCTTCAGTCTTTACTCTTCACTCTTCAGTCTTCACTCTTCAGTCTTTACTCTTCACTCTTCAGTCTTCACTCTTGAGTCTTCAGTCTTCACTCTTCAGTCTTCACTCTTCACTCTTCAGTCTTCAGTCTTCACTCTTGAGTCTTCACTCTTTAGTCTTCACTCTTGAGTCTTCACTCATCAGTCTTCACTCTTCAGTCTTCACTCTTGAGTCTTCACTCTTTAGTCTTCACTCTTGAGTCTTCACTCTTTAGTCTTCACTCTTCAGTCTTCACTCTTGAGTCTTCAGTCTTCACTCTTGAGTCTTCACTCTTGAGTCTTCACTCTTGAGTCTTCACTCTTCAGTCTTCACTCTTTAGTCTTCACTCTTCAGTCTTCACTCTTTAGTGTTCACTCTTCACTCTTCAGTCTTCACTCTTGAGTCTTCACTCTTCACTCTTCAGTCTTCACTCTTCACTCATCAGTCTTCACTCTTCAGTCTTCAGTCTTCACTCTTGAGTCTTCACTCTTCACTCTTCACTCTTCAGTCTTCACTCATCAGTCTTCAGTCTTCACTCTTGAGTCTTCACTCTTCACTCTTCAGTCTTCACTCTTCAGTCTTCAGTCTTCACTCTTGAGTCTTCACTCTTCACTCTTCACTCTTGAGTCTTCACTCTTTAGTCTTCACTCTTCAGTCTTCACTCTTGAGTCTTCAGTCTTCACTCTTGAGTCTTCACTCTTGAGTCTTCACTCTTGAGTCTTCACTCTTCAGTCTTCACTCTTTAGTCTTCACTCTTCAGTCTTCACTCTTTAGTGTTCACTCTTCACTCTTCAGTCTTCACTCTTGAGTCTTCACTCTTCACTCTTCAGTCTTCACTCTTCACTCATCAGTCTTCACTCTTCAGTCTTCACTCTTGAGTCTTCACTCTTCACTCTTTAGTCTTCACTCTTGAGTCTTCACTCTTCACTCTTTAGTCTTCACTCTTGAGTCTTCACTCTTCACTCTTCACTCTTCAGTCTTCACTCATCAGTCTTCAGTCTTCACTCTTGAGTCTTCACTCTTCACTCTTCAGTCTTCACTCTTGAGTCTTCACTCTTCACTCTTCACTCATCAGTCTTCACTCTTCACTCTTCACTCTTCACTCATCAGTCTTCACTCTTCACTCTTTAGTGTTCACTCTTCACTCTTCACTCATCAGTCTTCACTCTTCACTCTTTAGTGTTCACTCTTCACTCTTCAGTCTTCACTCTTGAGTCTTCACTCTTCACTCTTTAGTCTTCACTCTTCAGTCTTCACTCTTCACTCTTCAGTCTTCACTCTTCACTCTTCACTCTTCACTCTTCACTCTTTAGTCTTCACTCTTGAGTCTTCACTCTTCAGTCTTCACTCTTTAGTCTTCACTCTTCAGTCTTCACTCTTTAGTGTTCACTCTTCAGTCTTCACTCTTCACTCTTCATCTCTTCAGTCTTCACTGGAGGATGTTTGATGACACTTGGTGAAAAACTGGGAATAATGATGATCACATGATATTAGAACTGAAAATGTGTCGTTCACACACAAAATTAGTGTGTGTGTGAGAGAGAGACAGAGTGTGTGTGAGAGAGAGAGCGAGTGTGTGTGTGTGTGCGTGTGTGCGTGTATGTGTGTTAAGCTCCTCAGCTGATGGAGGCATCCTGATGGTTGTGATGGTTCAGGTTATTCTCCTCTGATCGCTGCTTGTGTGTGTGTGTGTGTGTGTGTGTGTGTCTGGATCTGAAACGCTCCTCTTCCATCCATCAACCCATAACACATGAACCATCAGTGATTCGCTGCTCATAATTTCTCCATCAGCAGAATGACTTCACTGTCAGTGATGGCTCGGAAAGACTTTAGCGGGAAATCTTTATTAACCAGACCTCGAGGCATTCAGGAGTTTACATCATCGTTCGGGTCGGGAATCAGATACTTGTTTTAAAATCTAAATGTGGATTCCTCTGTGTGAGCATTTCAGTGAACACCCCAGACCACTCGGTGAGTTTCACGGTTTTGTAAAGTATAATGCGTTTTATGAAGGATTGTTCACACAACACAAGACTGAGAACATCCACTCGTTCTTCACTAAAATAACTTCTTGTGACTGTTTTATTTATAAAGTGCAACGCTGTGTGTGTAAGAGTTCTTCAGCCTTTTCATTCATGATATTCGGACACAATTACATGTTTTGCAATAAGACAAAATGTGAAATCATTAATCGTCATAAATGTGTGTTATGTTTTCCAATAGTTGCCTGATAATGAAACGCAGTGACAGATGTATGAGTTTGAAAAGCCCCGTCTAAGTGTGTGTGTGTGTGTGTGTGATGCTCTGTCATCATTCATGAACACACAGGCGGCCATTGAGCGCATCGTTTGTGGCGCTCCGTGTGTTTGGATGAAGACACACACACTCTGGCTTTCACTGTGGATCCAATGGGATTCGCTGATGCTGAAACCACTGCGTCTTCATGAACAATCGCGTTCACTCATTCATGATCGTGTCAAACTCCAGACAGAGAGAGAACAGAAGAGTCTCCCGCTAGAGGAACTGTCTCGTGTGGATTTAGCTTGTCTACATCACAGAATTAAAAAGAGAAAAAGTTGATTGTACCTTTTTATCTTGCAATTTTGACTTAAGAACTCTTAATTTTGAATTTATATATACTCTATAACTCGTAATTGTGAGAATATATATATATATATTCTATAACTTACTTTTGCATTTATATACTCTATAACTCATATTTTCGAGTTTATATACTCGTAATTGTTTATGTACTCTATGACTCGTAATTTTGAGTTACTCGATAACTCATAATTGTTTATATAACTTGTAATTTTGAGTTTATATACTCTATAACTCGTAATTGTTTATATAACTTGTAATTTTTTGAGTTTATATTCTCTATAACTCGTAATTTTGAGTTTATATACTCAATAAGTAATTTTCTTTGTTTATATAGTCAATAACTCGTAATTGTGAGTTTAAATCTTGATTTGTGAATTTTGATCATATAAATATAAGATGTTATAAAGTCTGAATTGTGAGATTTGAACTCAATTTTGAGAGAAAAGGCACAATTCCAACTTTTAAATGTTTATCCGGTGGCGTAAACAATCTTCCAGTATTGTGATGTTTCTGTAGTGATTGAGCAACACTGTATTCGAGGACCGCACATGATGAGATGACATGGGCGTGTGTGTGTTGTGTGTGTGTGTGTAGTGTCGGTCACATGACTGTCCTCCTGCACAAAGACTCCTGTATCTCGACTACAGACGCTTGAAATCGATTCCCCGGAGCCGACTCTCGGGCCGCTGTACATGCGGTTTCCCATGAGCCTCAGCGCTCGCATGTTCCTCTCAGACACACGTCTAACGCTCCGGAACAGCAGAACGTGTGAATCCTCAAATCTCAAATCAAACGAGCTGTTTTTGAGCTACTTTTAGGATCATTGTGCTCCACAAATTCTCTACAAAAATCTTATTTAAAAATATATATACTTACTCTTAATTATTATGGTTCAAAGGTTTGGAGTCAATAAGATTTGAAAGAAATTAATACTTTTATTCATCAAGGATGAATTAAATTGATCAAACGTGACCGTAAAGACATTTATAATGTTACAAAAGCTTCTGTTTCAGATCGATGCTGTTCTTTTGAACTTTCTATTCATCAAATAATCCTGAAATAAGTGTAAATAACTGTGTTCGACACTGATAATAATCATAACTGTGTGTTGATCATCAGATCCTCATATTAGAGTGATTTGTGAAGGATCATGTGACACTGAAGACTGGAGTAATGATGATAAATTCAGCTTTGATCACAGGAATAAATTACACTTTACTGGATATTCACATAGAAAACATTTTAATTTTGATTTACATTATAATAATATTTCACAATATTACTGATCACAGGAATGAGATGTTTTTTTATGAAAATAATGTCAACCTTCATTTATATAGCGCTCATTCAAAACCGCTTTGATGTGATGGTGCCAAACATCTTAATGGTCCTAAAATGTAATATTTTATATAATATATATTTTTTATTATATATTATATTCTTCTTTTATTTGTATCTGTAGACTGATTTTGCTGTGTTTTCGGTGATTATGTTCCTCGTTCAGAGACTCAAAAGAGAGCAGAAACCCTGCTGAGTCAGAGCTGTCAATCAAACACTCCCGTGGGGGAGGCGGGGCTCTGATTGGCTGAGTCAGTGTGTGTGGGCATGTCTCTGGACCTCCTGGGGATCCCGTGGGAGGAGTGTGTGTGTGTGTGTGTGGTGAGCGTGACGGGCCGCCAGCGTGGGCTCTTTGTTGTGTTTCCTGGGCGAGCGACGGACCATTCTTAAACACTGCACTCAACATGTGTGTGTGTGTGTGTGTTTGCTTTAATTAAATGCCAGAGGAACATGTAGTTAAAGGACCTGAAAGCTAAAGGCTGTTATGCTGGTGTGTGTGTTAGAGAGAATGTGTGTGTGTGTGTGTGTGTTTGTATGTGAATGTGAATGCGAGTCTGTGCGTGTGTGAGTGAGTGTGTCTGTGTGTTTGCTTTAATTAAATGCCAGAGTAACATGTAATTAAAGGACCTGAAAGCAAAAGGCTGTTATGTGAGTGAGTCAGTCAGTGAGTGAGGGATTGAGTGAGTGAGTCAGTGAGTGAGTGAGTGAGTCAGTGAGTGAGTGAGTCAGTGAGTGAGTGAGTGAGTCAGTGAGTGAGTGAGTGAGTCAGTGAGTGAGTCAGTGAGTGAGTGAGTGAGTCAGTGAGCCAGTGAGTGAGTCAGTCAGTGAGTGAGGGATTGAGTGAGTCAGTCAGTGAGTGAGTGAGTCAGTGAGTGAGTGAGTGAGTCAGTGAGCCAGTGAGTCAGTGAGTCAATGAGTGAGTGAGTGAGTCGGTGAGTGCGATGTCTTAGAAGAAGAACCATTTGAGCGCACTGGACCGGTTCTCTGGGGTTATAGACTCCTCGTGGAAACATCGATGCAGAGAACGAAGCTTTATTTGTGAGAGCGCAGAAGTGTGTTTGTTAGTCTTGTTAGTTGAGATGTGTGTGTCTAGAACACAAAAGCACACACTGGGTCCTGCGAGTAAACGCAGATTATCATCAGTGCGACTCGAGGATTATAATCCAGATCTTCCTCCTCCTCTCCTGCTGATCTTGCTCTCCTTACTGATGATGCTCCGGTGTCTCTGAGCGGCTCCGTTTGCATGATAATGTCAGCAGCTGTGTGTGTGTGTGTGTGTGTGTGTGTGACGGCCTCCGTCATTCAGTGTGTGACCTTCCATTCATCTGTGAACTATAGATTCAACTGTGTGTGTGTGTGTGACTCTGTGTGTGAGTGAGTGTTATAATACTATCTCTCTCTCTCAAACACACACACACACACACACACACACATACTCTTTAATTGTCATTAAAATAAATTTTTCTCACTATTGGGTGGTTGTGTACACACACTGCCAACACACATTTATGTCAAAATTTATAAACACCAAGCAAAAGTGCATTTTGCATAATAAACTCATTCTCATTGACGACTTTGCAGGATGTTAAAATTAATTTGTTAGATCTAATGAATGCACATAATATTTACATATACAAATACAAGATGACAAGTCCAAAAACATTGTGAACTCATGAATATTCAGAAGCTCCTGGGATTCTGACATTAATATTCGCTGTTATTTTGGACTGTAAAACTGACCGTCTGGAAACTTGTGAATGCATCACACACACATCTCAGGATTAGTTGGTGTTTTTTAATGTAATATTGCAGTGTTCATTCTGATCGATTCACTCATGCGCATGGGGGCGGAGCAACCTGTGATGATGTCACTCTCAACGACTCTATAGACGTAATGATTTTAATACTATACAAGCTATATACTCTCTCTCTCTCTCTCTCTCTTTATATATATATATATATATATATACACTCACTCACACACACACACACACACACACACACAAGGTAATAATGCATGCTGTCTTCAATCTGACTCTTCATCTCGTATTAAATCAAACACATTATCTTCAGCAGAAGATCTTCACACACATTAATTTTGTGAGAGAATCTTTATAATTCTGAGTGCTGGTCAGGAGTTTGTGCTGGTGTGTGTGTGTGTGTGTGTGTGTACCTGGGCTGCTGATGACATCATCGGTTCTCCTCCTGCAGAGGGCGGCTGCGTTCCAGGTGACGCTTCTGGACGGCGAGCGGATGTTGATGTCGCTGAACCCGGAGGACGTGCGGCCGGACGCGTCGGTGTACGCGGTGCGAGTGTCTGGGGAGCCACACACACACACACTGATGTTCCCGCGACCCGCCGCCGGTCAGACGCTCCCGCCGCCGCTCGAGTTCAACGCCTCGTATCATGGCCTGTGTTACTCCGTCAGCCTGATGATCGGGAACCACAGCGCGTCCCGAGCCGCCACCACCCTCGCCGTGATGACCCGTGAGACAGCTGTCAATCAACACACATCACATAATCTAAGATAAATAAATCACACAAAAACATATATATATATATATATATAACATTTTATTTTAAATAGGTAGTAATAAGTAATTTTAATTATTGTATTGCCAGCATTGATATAACATGACTTGCATCATGATGTCCACTAATTTTAATTGACTTGTTTTCAGTGACAGCAAAGTGCACTTCAGTCTCGTATTAAAGAGATGCCATTGTGTGTGTGTGTGTGTGTGTGTGTGTGTGCGTAGAGCCTCTTCCTCTAGACGCTGTGGAGATGTCTGATTACGGGCCGTCTCCAGAGACTGCTGTGGTGTTCCAGATGCGTTCCCCGGAGCGGAGTGTCTTCAGCAGAGTGAACATCAGCTTCAGCGAGGGCCGCACGCAGCGCTACATGCTCTATAAAGGTGCGCCTCCTCGGCGCTCCGTCAGCATGGGTCACCTGGGTCGTCAGCGCTGGGGTCGCCTGGGTCATCAGTGCTGGGGTCACCTGGGTCGTCAGCGCTGGGTTCGCCTGGGTCATCAGTGCTGGGGTCACCTGGGTCGTCAGTGCTGGGGTCGCCTGGGTTGTCAGTGCTGGGGTCACCTGGGTCGTCAGTGCTGGGGTCGCCTGGGTCGTCAGTGCTGGGGTCACCTGGGTCGTCAGCGCTGGGGTCGCCTGGGTCATCAGTGCTGGGGTCGCCTGGGTCGTCAGTGCTGGGGTCGCCTGGGTCGTCAGTGCTGGGGTCACCTGGGTCGTCAGTGCTGGGGTCACCTGGGTCGTCAGCGCTGGGGTCGCCTGGGTCATCAGTGCTGGGATCGCCTGGGTCGTCAGTGCTGGGATCGCCTGGGTCATCAGTGCTGGGGTCACCTGGGTCGTCAGTGCTGGGGTCGCCTGGGTCGTCAGTGCTGGGGTCGCCTGGGTTGTCAGTGCTGGGTCGCCTGGGTTATCAGTGCTGGGGTCGCTTGGGTCGTCAGCGCTGGGGTCACCTGGGTCGTCAGCGCTGGGGTCGCCTGGGTCGTCAGTGCTGGGGTCGCCTGGGTCGTCAGTGCTGGGGTCGCCTGGGTCGTCAGTGCTGGGGTCGCCTGGGTCGTCAGTGCTGGGGTCACCTGGGTCGTCAGTGCTGGGGTCGCCTGGGTCGTCAGTGCTGGGGTCGCCTGGGTCGTCAGCGCTGGGGTCACCTGGGTCGTCAGCGCTGGGGTCGCCTGGGTCATCAGTGCTGGGGTCGCTTGGGTCGTCAGCACTGGGGTCGCCTGGTTCATCAGTGCTGGGGTCGCCTGGGTCGTCAGCGTGGGTCACCTGGGTCGTCAGTGCTGGGGTCACCTGGGTAGTCAGTGCTGGGGTCACCTGGGTCGTCAGTGCTGGGGTCACCTGGGTAGTCAGTGCTGGGGTCGCCTGGGTTGTCAGTGCTGGGGTCGCCTGGGTCGTCAGCGTGGGTCACCTGGGTCGTCAGTGCTGGGGTCACCTGGGTAGTCAGTGCTGGGGTCACCTGGGTCGTCAGTGCTGGGGTCACCTGGGTAGTCAGTGCTGGGGTCACCTGGGTCATCAGTGCTGGGGTCACCTGGGTCGTCAGTGCTGGGGTCGCCTGGGTTGTCAGTGCTGGGGTTGCCTGGGTCGCCTGGGTCGGCAGCGCTGAGGTCGCCTGGATCGTCAGCACTGAGGTCGCCTGGGTCGTTAGCACTGAGGTCGCCTGGGTCGCCTGGGTTGGCAGTGCTGGGGTCGTCTGGGTCGTCAGCGCTAGGGGTCGCCTGGGTCGCCTGGGTCGTCAGCGCTGGGGTCTCCTGGGTCGGCAGCACTGAGGTCGCCTGGTCGTCAGTGTGGGTCGTCTGGGTCGTCAGCGCTAGGGGTCGCCTGGGTCATCCTGGGTCGTCAGCGCTGGGGTCGTCTGGGTTGTCAGCGCTGGGGTTGTCAGGGTCGTCAGCGCTGAGGTCGCTTGGGTCATCCTGGGTCGTCAGCGCTGGGGTCGGCTGGGTTATCTGGGTCGTTTTCAATATCGGTGCCAAATTCCATACTTTTAAAACGGATAGTTTCGGTCCTTGATTCGGATTGGTTAAGCTGCGTTCGAAGCCGTTGTAAATGACTCCACACACATTCACACACACCTACCAGTGACCACATTACATTAGTGTTACACACACACACTGTGACCGCATTACATAAGTGTTTTACACACACACACACACACACACCTGCAACCGCATTACATTAGTGTACATTAGTAAACCACCCCTTTAAAAGACCCAGACGACGTCCAACCCTAATCTTCATCTCTCTCTGTGTGTGTGTGTGTGTGTGTGTGTCTGCAGATTTCCACAGAGGGAGGACGGTGTTCAAGCACTGGCTGTCGGGTGTGTGTTACAGCAACATCTCCTTCCAGCTGATCTCTGAGGCCACGGTCAACAAGAGCTCGATGATCAGCCGGAGCCCGGTCCTGCTCGCGCCCCGGCCGCACCGCACCGGTACCACATCCTCCTCATCATCGTCATCTTCATCATCATCATCATCATCACTCACTCATTCTGGTGTCTGTGAACGCATGCTCTGACACGGTTATAATGGCTTCATGACAGCCAATGTCAAAACCAACCACATGACAGTCTAATGTAATCATAACCAATAAAGCTAAGTGTTTTCTTAAAGGGACAATGCGTAGTTTTTTAATATTTCATTATTTAAAACCAATATTTTGATTCAGAAATATGTCCTCAATGGTGTAAAAATCTATCAAATATCCATCTGTTCGTTGTCAAGTTGCAGTTTGTTTGAAATAACAAACCTGTCCACCCGCAGGAACACTCGATGAAGTGCCATTAGAAGACATCCGGTCACAGCTTTTTGGCACATAACGGCTACCGTAGAAGCAACACGCATTTGACAAAGCGAGGCGCTCGAGAGCACAATTCGTTTGAATGCAAAATACAATTTTACTCACTAAATTTTGACACATTGTCCCTTTAAGTTTGATCTGCTATGTCATGTTTATGACAGGTTGTGTTGTCTAGTAATGTCAAGTTGTCATGACAAAGACACTGACAGGTTATGATGTATTGGTTTGTGTCAAGGTGTCATAACAAAACATCTCAAACAATGTCATATTTGCATTAAAAATGTCATAATTGAGCGAATGACACTTAATGACTGTTGTCACAAGCATGCGTAAACCTCCTTCACGTGTGTCATGTCATGATTATATGGTGTCGTGTCAGTCTTATGCACACTGCTTCAAATAAAGTGTTACCATTTTTTCTTTTTTTTCCGGCTAATTCTGAATGGCCGGTAACCTAAAAATGTAGTTGCCCTTATCATCATCTTCATCATCATCACATGACCTTTAATTAGCGCTGGAGTCTCTGAACAAGGTCATGAGCCGTTAATTATTGATGGAAACTCTCCGGATTCACAGCAAGATGCTGATTATCCAATCCCGTCGCGAGGCTAATGAGCGAGGGAATGCGTCGCTTCAGGAAAACCCTGTTTTTAGGATCATTCAGAGTTATTTTAACTCATTAACTCATTAGTAGCCACAAACTCTCAGTACTGTAATTAATTAAGCATTTTATTTACAATAATATTTTATATCATGATAACATTTCTCGAACTAACTTTGATTTTAATTAGTAAATACATTATTTAAATAAATTAGTCACCTTTGAAAATAATGCGAATTATGAAAAACTCAAACTAATATGTGCTCAGTTGTCATTCAAAATAATATGAAATGAACAATTATATAATAATTAATAATCATATTAATAATTAAGAAAATGTCTTCTCAAATTTTGTTCTTGAAAACAATTTGATCTGATTAGTATTTATTTATATTCATATTTTATTTAATATTTTTTGATTTTATTATTTTTTAGATTTTGTATACTACATTTGGTTTAATCTGACTATATTTAAAAACTAAAATTATACATTGAATAAATAAATGTTGAAATGCTGATTTTAATTAAAAAAAAATCAGTGCTCAAGAAAACATTGAAAATCTGCATTCTAAATATAATTTTACAGTTTTTCCTCATCACAGTTTAATTTGACGGTTTTTATTTGAGTAATCAGTGCTAAATGCTGTTTTCTGTCTGCAGTCCCAAACCCTCCTCTCAACGTGTCCCTCAAGATCCTCCAGCTCAGCGGATCTGACCCGCACAGGGCCGTTCTGAAGGCGTCCCACAATACATCACTCCTCCGAAGGACACGTGACGTCCCTGCAACCGAAGAACAGGAGGGGGCGGATCCTGACGAGGTGGGCGTCACCCAAACGCTCCTGAACGAGTCGGTAACCGACGGTGACAGCAGCACAACCGAACCCACACATGACAACAGCACAGAACCTCTGTGGGCGGAGCCCGTGGGAAGCCCCGCCCCCACAGAGGAGGAGGAGGAGTTTGTCAACGCAGTGCTTCCAGAATACGAGGACTCTAATGAGCCGGGTTCAGCCATGGATGTGAACTTTGACCCCAGAGTGAGGCTGGATGTGACCTTTGACCCCAGAGTGAGGCCCAATCCGCTGTCAGTCCTGCTGGAGCTGCGCTGGTCTCCGCCGACGACACACACCTCGTTCGACGGGTTTAACGTCTACATCTACCGCGACGGTGAGAATCACTGATAGATTGATAGATTGACAGATTGACGGATAGATGACACGCGTCTGTTGTGTGAATGCCTCGATCAGGAAACTCCACGGAAACGGCCACAGTGGATGAAAACACACACGAGTTCTTCAGCGAACTGTCGGAGCCGGGAACGTATCGTGTTCTCGTCACCACACTCAGCTCGAGCGGAGACTGTGAGGCCCGGGAGAGTTCTGCCGACACCGGGGTCACCTTCTACCTCAGTATGACCCCCGACACACACACACTCACATGCGCACGTACACACACAGAGAATGAGGCACACAAACACACAACCATACAGCCTACAGAGGGTGCAGAGGTGATGTTTGTTTGTGTGTGTGTGTGTGCCTGTCTCTCTCTTTCTGCCTGTGTGTGTGTGTGTGTGTGTGAGCAGGTCCGCAGGGCGAGTGGATGGAGCAGCCTCAGGAGTGTCCTCAGGCGGTCAGTGTGAAGATGTTGGACTCGAGCACGGCTAGCGTCTCCTGGGCTCCGGCGACTCACAGGTACAACGGGAGTCTGATCTCAGTGCTGTCGCTCACCTGTCTGAGGCCCAGCATCAGCCAGCGCATGGAGAACACCTACTGCTCACAGGTGACGCCCGCACTGCATACTCAAGTGGAGAGTGTGCAGGCTGTACATACTGTGCATATTTGCAGTATATAGTGAGCATGCTGTACATAGTGTGCTCATTTATTTAAGTATAAAGTGTGCATAGAGTGCATATTTAAGTATATACTGTAGTGTGTATGCTGTGCATAGAGTGCATATTTGTTGCAGTATATAGTGTGTATGCTGTACATAGAATGCACATTTATTTAAGTATATAGTGTGCATGCTGTGCATAGAGTGCATATTTGTTGCAGTATATAGTGTGTATGCTGTACATAAAGTGCATATTTGTTGCAGTATATAGTGTGCATGCTGTACATAGAATGCATATTTAAGTATATAGTGTGTATGCTGTGCATAGAGTGCATATTTGTTGTAGTATATAGTGAACATGCAGTATGTAGTGTGCTAATTTTTTCATAGTGTGCTCAGTTTTGCAGTGTGCTAGTGTGCATGCTGTACATGCTTGATTTTTAACCAGATCCATCAATCAATACAAATGTTATCAACATCAACCAAAGCTGCATCTGTTTATGTTTATTTATTAATTATGTATATTGAATTAGGACTGCATGATTTGAGGAAAAACTCTAATTGCCAGAGCAGAAGTAAACATGTGACCTGCTCCCCTGTCTCTCATAGGAGAACCTCACCAGTGACATCATCAGCAGCCTGACTCCAGGCGCTCAGTACAGAGTGGTGGTTTATCACACTAACGGGCCGCTCGTTAGTCCCGCCTCTGAACCCGTCATCATTGACATAGGTTAGTAACTATTCTGCTCGGTTTGTAGAAGCATACTAATGTTTTTACTCTACATAGTGTGCATGCTTTACATAGTGTGCTCATTAATTTAAGTATATAGTGTGCATGCTTTACATAGTGTGCTCATTTTTCATAGTGTGATCATTTATTTGCAGTATAGTATTTGTTGGCATACAGTGCTCATATTTCTGAAAACCATTGTAATAGTAGTTTGACACAGATTGGCCCATCAGGTTGAGTTTCCCTCTAGTGTAAGATCCTGAAGCTCCGCCTCCAGTGACTCATCTGTGCTCTGTGATTGGTTGATCAGAGCCGACGGGTGTTCGTGATCTGGTGGTGTATCCTCTCAGTCCCAGCGCCGTGATCCTCAGCTGGCAGCGCCCGTATAACGTGGCCTTCCGCAAGTACGTACTTCAGACGTTCTTCTTCAACTCGGCCACGCAGACGTCCCAGTGGACGACCTACTACGAGATCGCCGCCACCGCCTCCGTCATCGCCTCTGTGGTAAACACCAAAACACCACACTTTTGATTTACGTGATTTGTTTTGAGATTGTATGAGTGTGTTCTGCATGTGCGCTAGGGCCGCCGTTCTGACTTTATTTAGGGTTTTGATTCGATAATGACAGAAGTCTCGTTCCTGTAATCAGTCAATTAACCAGTAGAGATGTGTAATTATGATGCATACTGAGTCACGGCCGGGATGTGAGAAATTATTATAATCATATTTAATGACACGCCACAGTGCCTCTCGCTCATAGCGAGACTGAGGATGAACACACGGTTCTGACGAGGTCAGAGTCTCTAATTACATCAGCATGAGATCCTGCAAAGGTCAGACACTGAGATATCAGACAGACTCGCTGGAGACGCCACTTATTCCAGCAACAACACCAGACAACCACAGATCTAATCAATCACAGCCAATCAGGAGAGAGTGTGGGCGGAGCCTCTCTGCAAACGCTCTGCAGCCGTAACCTAATCAATCATTTTAATTTTAGTTAAAGTTTTTGTCTTTTGTTTTTCAGTATATCTATATAGTTTTTATGAAGTTTTAGTTTATTTAGTTGTAGTTCTTTTAGTACTTCAACTTAAAGCAATGAAAATAATAAGTGTTGTCCTGGCAACTAGCCGAAATAAATTAAGTTGAATTTATGTAAAAAAAAATGTTTTTAATTTTATTTCTATTAATTGCATTTTTATGGTTTTAGCAGTAACAACGCTGGTAATAGAATACACTTATTTCGTTCTTATGCCCTTTCATTTAATTTCAGGATCTGAGGTGAATTGTCAATTGGCATAGTGGGTGGAGCTTGAATGTCAAGCCACGCCTCTATTGCATAGTGGGTGGAGCTTGCCTCTATGGACATAGTGGGTGGAGCTTGAATGTCAAGCCCCGCCTCTATTGGCATAGTGGGTGTAGCTTGAAGGTCCATCCCTGCCCCTATGGACATAGTGGGTGGAGCTTGAATGTCAAGCCCCGCCTCTGTTGGCATAGTAGGTGGAGCTTGATGTCCAGGTCCAGCCACACCTTAATCTATCCCTAAACCTAATTAGGTCAAGCTCCACCCATTAGGTCCGGAGAGGAGGAGCTGGAGCGAGCACCACTTGCTTTTGTCAGGTGTCATCATCATTCTCTCGTCTCCCACAGAGAGTGACAGATCTGCTGCCGGCCTGGTATTACAACTTCCGTGTGACGATGGTGACGTGGGGCGACCCGCCTCTGAGCTGCTGTGACGGCTCCACCGTGAGCTTCGTGACAGGTGCGCTGCCCACAGAGGCTAGTTAGTTAGTTAAGGCATAATAGGTTTTCTTTAATAAGAGCCGGTCACTAAGGTTGTTTTGAGAGCACTAATAGTTGTTGTGTGAGTCGTTGTGTGAGTGTCGATACTCATGAATAAACTGTTCTGTGTGTCCGCCAGCTCCCGAAGCTCCTCACATCTCCTCGGTGGAATATTCCCACGGGACGCTGTTCGTGCGCTGGAACTACGGGGATCTGTTCACCGACCTGTCGCACTCGCGCATGTCACACTGGCAGGTGAAGGCGGAGGGGCGGAAGGGCTCGCGGAGACGCTACTCCATCGACGTGAGTCACATTAACACTGAGTTTCTCCATGTAACTGCTAAAATCCGATGCTTCCACCGACACAGAACACATGAGAAGTGAAACCCAGTCACTGTGAGTCTCTCTCTAAAATAAGCCGATCAGATTTCGCTCCTTCTGTATGAAGAGGATCTTCGCCGAGCGCCAACAGAGCCCAGTTCAGTGTGTGTCACTGGAGAAGATCCAGCTGATTACTCCTGATCCTGGATCAGTGAGATCCGCCTGTGTTGTTATTGCTGGAGTCTCTGAAGCTCGTTTGAAGGCTCCACCCTCTTCTGAACAGAGGCGGAGCTAAAGCTCATTTGCATTTAAAGCGACACACACAAAAATGGGCCGTTTTTGCTCACCCCCCAAAAGGGGCAAATTTAACAAGCTATAATAATTGATCATTCATAATAACAAGCTATAATGAATGATATTTTGAGCTGAGATTTCACACACACATTCTGGAGACGCCATAGATTTATGTCACATCTGGTGAAAAGGGGCGTAATGTGGCACCTTTAAACATAAAAACATAAGCTTCTGGAGGCATACGGGTGTCAATCATCAACCGTAAACACACACACACACAGTTCGTTTAGGGCTAAGGAGAAACTACAAACTGACTACAAAAAAGTGCTAGAAACAAGAAAACAGGAAACTAGCTCTACAACAGGTGAGGCTAGTCCTTAATGCTAATTCTATGCTGTTTTCTATTCAGATTTGAGTTCATGACACGGTCTCTGGTCATTAAATGCTCATGATGATGTACTGTAGTCGTTCACTGTGGTAAAACACTTCTTCTGGGTGTTTATCAGCTCTGGCTCGTGAGATTCCCCCTCGAGCGGCGTCACGGTGTCGTTAGCCGGTAATGAATCCAATTACCAAACACACATATTTATCTGACGCACAGCCAGCATTTAATTAGCGATGTCTAAATGTTTCCACACTGAGATCTTCAGACGCCCACCAGCGACACAAGAGAGAGAGAGAAGATTCGTGTTCATTTACACCAGCCTTTCTATTGAAAACTTATATAGACTCATTAGACTGCAAAGTGAGATATTTCAAGCCTTTATTTGTCATAATGTTGATGATTATGATTCAAAATGAGAAAATTGTAGAAAAAATGTTCATGCCATAATCATTGAAATTAGCTGTCAGCTGAGCGTTTCAAACGAACCAATGAACATTGAATCGATTCGTTTGAATCTTCTCACGGTCATGGAGCAGCGAACGCTTGATTTGGCTGATTGTTTGTGTGTAAAAGTGATTGGTGTTTGTTTCAGGTGATTCGCAATATGATGAAGGCATCTCTGGCTCTTCCTCCTGGCGACATCTATAATCTGACGGTCACCGCCTGTACCGAGAGAAGCTGCAACACGTCTGCGCCTCACATCATGAAGCTCGGTCAGTGACCCTGTCCCTGACTTCACACTGCAAACAAACCAGCCTCTTCCTCACAATTTCTGTCATGATTTCCAGCTCACATATCTATTATGCTATTTTTAAAGGTTTCTAATGTTGTTTTTGGCGTCTTCTACAACTGGACAAATGTCAAAAAACACTAATTATCTCATAATATTCATCAGCTCTTTCCTCTCAGTGTCTGAAACGCTTCGTTGGGAGATTCAGTCTCTCTAAGCTCCGCCTCTCTGAGAGCTGCTCTGCTGTGATTGGTCAGAAACGCTCATTATCATATCTGACTCTCAGCTCTTGATCACAGTGATACGAACAGTAATGAAGGCGTGGGTTTCACCGTATCGATCTCCGAGAACAGCGTCTTCTCAGTCTCAGATACACTACAGTGTTTGAGGGCGGAGCTAAGAGATGCTGATCAGCCAATCAGGACCAGTGGTGGAGATTATGCAAATTAGTTATTCAACAGGAAGTGAGACTGGAATTACTGTCGACTAGTTTCTGTTCAGAATCACTTCTTTATTTTAGGAGACAATGACTATTTATTTCCACTTTTACCTTCACAATTACACTCTGCATGAAAGGGAATATCTGAAAAAAACATAATAGGGCGGTTTAAGTTTATTTTTTCTAACTCCACTGATATTTATTCTTGTTTTAAGCTCAAACTCACTTCTTTTTGATGTTTTTTTACATCAGTTATGCATATCTGATCAAACATACTAAAATCGAAATCATTTGTTTGCAACTGCTGAGAGTGTGTTTTCTGATTCTAATAATAACTTATTTGACTGTGACTTCCTGTGCAAAACAGGCCAGAATTGATGTGGCTGTGTGTTTCATCTTCCCTTTTTACCTCGTTTTTTTAAACCGTGTCCTTAAAGGATCTAGTAAGTTAGACATTGGTCTCTTTTCCGAACAGAACCGGCTCCTCCGAGGTCTCTGTACGCGGTGAACGCCAGCGACACGGCGATCACTCTGATCTGGGCCGAGGACGGCGTCGTGGACTTCTACCAGATCGCATGCAGGCCGATGGGAAACGCCAGAGAACGCACAGTAAGATCTCATACACACTTTAAACTAGGGGTGTAACGATCCCTCACGTCACGATCCCACGCCATATTACTGTGATACTCCGAGACACATGATACAAGATGAACGAAAAATGTCCTGTGGGTTAAAATGCTAAATTTGATATTATATTGTGTGTGTAAATGAATAGACTAGGACCCAATGAACAATAGAGACACCAGAATAACAATATTCATGATCCTGAAGCTGAAAATATAATTATTTTAGACGAATGCTTGCACTCTTTCAATGCGTACATTTACTTACAATAATGTATAGGCCACTTTTACTGGTAACAACACATGTGGCATTATCAGGACACACAATATGCATTATTATACATTATATTCAACATTATATACAGGAGTTTAATGGAGTACTGACACTAACTGACATGATATATTGTTACACCCCTACTTTATGCAGAATAATTCATCCATTCAGTAACACTTTAGCATAAGGTATTCATTTCATTTTCATTTGATTCATTCTTATAAAGCACAGCATATATATATATATATATATATATATATATATATATATGAACTTGAATATATAAGCTTGATAAAAATGATCATTTTAGAAGAAAATTTCCAATGGCACTTAGAGGCTTTTGCATCTGAACTCTTCATATATATATATATATATATAATATTACTTTTTTTTTTAATGCATACAACAGATGCACTTGAAACCCCTTCACGAGTGTCCATCTATCCTCATGTATTTTCAAAAGCTGGTGTTTTATTGCCTTGACATTTTTGCTGTCTCTCTCTCGTGTGTGTGTGTGTGTGTGTGTGTGATGCAGAAGGTCCGAGAGCCGATGGTCACCGGCGCTCATGTCGTGACTGTCTCGGGTCTTCAGCCGTCCACCGTGTACAACTGTACCGTGATGAGCATCAGCTTCAGCAGCTCCAGTGACCCGGCCCACATCACCGTCAGCACGTCAGGTGAAGAAGAGTTCTCCACCATCATCCTCACAGAACTAAACCTGTATGGATCAAAATTATCCATTTTCTTTTATGACAAAAATCATTAGGATATTGAGTAAAGATCATGTTCCATGAAGATATTATGTAAATTTCCTACCGTTAATGTATTTTTGTGAGTGGACGCGGCACAATCACGAACATAAATGCACAACTTTAAAGGAGATTTTCTCAATGTTTCGAATTTTTTGCACCCTCAGATTCCAGATGTTCAATAGTTGCAGGCAAATATGATCATCATATCCTAACACACCATACATCAACCCATTAAGCTGTGTGTGTTTGCAGTGCGCGAGATGAACCCGAGTGTGGCGGCCATCTCTGCGCTGGCGGTTCTCAGTGTTCTGCTCATCAGTCTCCTGGTGCTGTTCCTGCTGGTGTTACGCAAGAAACACATGGAGCTGAGCCGGTGAGAAACTCAAACCAGCGTAACCAGCGTAACCACTGACCGACTCGCGTCAGCACCATCACTTCTGCCGCCTGCGCTTCATCAGAACGTGTCGTGAAGTTTCATTATCAGCTGTCTCTACACTTTAAACTTCACTGTCTATATACATGTGCATATATAACTATCAGCACTGAGGAGTTATAAACTATATATATATATATATATATATATATATATATATATATTAGGGCTGTCAAACGATTAATCGCAATTAATCGCATCCAAAATAAAAGTTTGTGTTTACATTATATATGTGGGTGCATTGTGTATAATTATTTTACATATATAAATACATTACACACACATGCTTGTATATATTTAAGAAATATTTTCATGTACATACTGTATATAGATTTATATATAATTTATATTATACATAAATATAAGTATTTTATATATAAATAATATTTTTTCTTAAATATACATGCATGTGTGTGTATTTATATATATATATACAAAATAATTATACACAGTGCACCCACATATATTATGTAAATACAAACTTATTTTGGATGCGATTAATCGCGATTAATCGTTTGACAGCCCTAATATATATATATATATATATATATAAAGTTGGATATATAACAATATGATCGTGCAGCTCTCTATATAGAGTTTGAGTCTGACTCTTTTCTCAATCAGCAGGAGAATATAAACAAAATATTTACTTAAAAACAGATTGAAATCATTGAGTGTCTGTAAACGTATCTAATGTAACTGTTTCTCAGGTGAAGGTCATGACCTCATATCAATATTCAGCATGTCTGCTTTCAGGGATTGCGGCGCTGAAACCTTCGTCAACTTCGCCTCGTTCGAGCGGGACGGGAAGATGCCGTATAACTGGTATGAGCCGTGCGCTCCTCTGTCACACACTGTCACACGGTGGCACTCGCACACAGACAGACAGGAAGTGACATCATCACGCTCGGTGAAACACACACACACAAACACACACACACACACGATTAATATAAGAGCTTAAAGAGGGTCAGTAAAGGCAGACTTCGGGCTGTTAATGAAGTCAAACGTTTTGATTGGCTGACGTGTGAGTAAACGCCCACTGTTATGATTGGCTAACGTCACTGCATTGTTAATCTGTATACTAAATCAGTGTAGACAGCGTCGGTCATTATAATGGCTTCTGTCTGCTTTGGACGCACCGAGGTCAAATGACTGATTCGTTAAGCGACTGAATGCCAGTGGGCTTGGGCGGGGCTAATGCTGCAATGATATATTACTATTGGCCAATGTCTTGCTCTGGAGGCGGGCATATGCAAATGCATTTGCCCATGTGACGTCACAGAGCCCACATTATCCAAATGAGCTGTTTTTGGAGCTTGATTAAATAATCACTTATAATGAGGCATTTAATATGAATGAAATGATGTTTATAACGAGGACACGTTAAGCTCTGAAACGTGCAGGATGTTTTAATGGTACAAAGACCTGGAATATGTCTAAAGATCTCGGCAAATTTGATTTTTCGTGTCATGACTCCTTTAATATCAGTTATTTTGCTTCTCTTGATTGAACAATGTTTGGATTGACAGAAACGTCATATTCTGCAGTGAATATAAACATGCAGTGCGTGGCATCAGTTATGATTGAGTTGCACGTGCGTGTGTGTTTTCTGTTGTGCGTCTGTTAATATCCAGCTGAGACGATCAGATGATTTCTGTCAAGTCAGTCACACACACACTCACACAGCAATGACACTGACTGCATGAAGCGTTCATTAACCTGTCGAACACTAATGAAATATGCTCAATCATCTGTGTGTGTGTCACTATTACTAATGGAGCATCATGTTTTGTCCCCAACTTTTTGCCCTTGGTCTTTTTTTATGTCTTTTGCTTTTCTGTTTTGTTGAAACGGCTTCAGGCGCAGGAGTCTCTTTGCGTTCCTCACGCTTCTGCCATCCTGCCTTTGGACTGACTATCTTTTGGCCTTTTATATTAATCCGTGGTAAGTATCGGCGCGGGCGACGGCGAGCTCTGGAGACTCACACACACACACACACTGTAGACTGACTGTAGATGCAGACTGAGCTCTTGATTCTGTCTGACTCCAGCATGACACTAACGCTCTGCATGACGTCTCTCACACACACACACACACACAGCTGTAACCCGACAGTCTCACGTCCTGCATGTTTGCTCTAGTTCCTCTGTTCTGTGTTGGACTGAATGCAGATTTTCTCCTTTTCTATTCCTTTGATTTCCTGAAGGAATGTGCGGGTGTAATACGAGCTGAGCTCTGGCGACGAGCTGTCAATCACCACGGGGAATAATAACAGTAACACACGTATGATCAGACTTACACTTATAAGAGATACAATGGAGAAATGCTATTATCTTTAAAATGATATATTAGGCATATATTAATGCGATAATGTTTAAAAATATAAACAAAAAAGTAAAATGATTAAATGTCTATAAATGATACAAAACACTGTATAATCATCATTAAACATGAGTTAAAATTATAATATGGAAGGCTATAGAAAAGACTAATAATTATGGCATATTTTATATTTAATATTTTACATTTGAACACAATTTAATAAAAAAAAAAATCCAATAAAATATATTTTATCAAATAAACTATATATATATATATATAATTCTATAATTCTAAAGCAAATACACTGTTTTGGAATTATATATATATATATATATAATTGAATTTGAATAAAAGTAAAAACAATAAATAAAATAAATCGTTATTTTCTAATTATTTAATTAAATAAATATCTAAATAAAGTATCAAATGAAACAATATATACATAATATATAAAATTTATTATAAAAAGCATTTTTATAAATTATAAAGAAAATACTCAATGAAAATAGATAAATAAATTACATACATGTATATCTAATTTGAATACAATTGTAAAAGTAAAAAAAATTAATAAAATATGTATATAAAAAAGTATTATATTATAAAAATATTTATATAAATTCTAAAAGAAATAAACACTATAAACAAATAAAATGTAAATATATGTTTATTTAATAGACATTTTTAAATTGTTTTGAAAAATTTATACTGTGTTTAAAAATAAATAACGGTCATTAAACATTATAATATGTGATCAAATCACTTTCTAACCATGTCTATTAAAGTCCTATCAGATGTCTCTGTGACGCGTGTGTGTGTGGTTCAGGACGCCAGCGCTGAAGCTCGACAACCTTGAAACGCATGTTTAGTTTGTAGGATTCAGGAGTTTGATCTGTTGTGTGTGTGTGTGTTGATCTCGGTTCATTGACGCTTTGTGTGTGTTTGACCTGCAGGAGCAAAACTGCACTGAAGAAGAGGAAACTAACCAGGTAATACAAAAGTTAAACCATCCTGTGTGTGTGTGTGTGTGTGTGTGTCTTACGTGGGTTGAACATGAGAGAGAGTAATTACTGACATTTTTAATTTTCAGGTGAACTAACCCTTTAATTTTCAAAAAGTCAAACTCAAGTGCTTTAAGCAGGTTGTGTGAACTGTTATGATGATGATGTGTGTGTGTGATGTGTGTGTCTTCAGCCCAGTTCAGCTTAGTGATTTCGACGCCTACATCAAAGACATGAGCAAAGATTCGGCGTACAAGTTCTCTCTGCAGTTTGAGGTAACCCAACACATAAAGGACACGCGTGTTTCTGTGAGTGTGTGTGTGTGTGTGTTTGACTACTGTGTTTCATCCGTCAGGAGCTGAAGACTGTCGGTCTCGATCTGTCTCATGAAGCTGCTGATCTGCCCGTCAACAGACCCAAGAACCGCTACACCAACATCCTGCCCTGTGAGTGGCCGGCCGCAAAGCCCCGTCTACTGTAGTCATAGCAACGCTGCTGTCATTGGCTACAGCCAATGTTGAATAATCAAAACAACAAGATGAAAAACATGAAAAAACTTTGATTTGTAAAAAGAAAATCTGTTGGAGGAATAATCTAATCCTTCAGTCAATATCAATCTTTCATTTTAAAACTAATTAATTATTATAAGTATAAAATATATATTTACGAGTGCTGTCAAATCAATTGATCACATCTAACAAAGTTTGTTCATATTTCATATATGTATATACACACAAACTCGCTCACAAACTCATTCTCTCACACACACACACACACACAAACTCACTCTCTCACACACACAAACTCACTCACAGACATGCTCACACACACATGCTCATAAACTCACTCTCACACACACAAACTCACTCATACTTAATCTTGCGCAAACTTACTCTTTCAAGCACACAAACTCACTCACTCATACTCACTCTTGCGCAAACTTACTCTTTCCAGCACACAAACTCACTCACACGTACACTCACTCTCACACAAACTTACTCTCTTACACACTCAGACATACACTCGCTCACCAACTCACCCAAACGTTTATGTTAGATGTGATTAATCAGTATAACAGCACTAATGTTTACATGTAAAATATGAAAATATATCCTTTTTTGTGAGTGCCAGAAAGCCTGACATCATCCGTGATGTTCGCCAATTACTGTAAACCAAACATTGAAATCCCTTGTTATGCGTTTCACCGATGCAGAAATCATCACTATTATTATTTATTATAGAGTTAACAATACACAACATCCACAATATCAAAGCTTGAAATATTCTCATTTATGAGCGTTGCTAATAACACAATGTTTGGTCTCAGATGACTTCAGCCGCGTGAAGCTGATCTCGCTGCACAACGACGAAGGCTCGGATTACATCAACGCAAACTATATTCCTGTAAGTACATCATCAACGTCAGCAGTGTTCGTTACTCCAGCGAGCTCACGCTTTCTGAAATACATCCTCTGATAACAGAACTATCCACACTGTAATGAAATGATGTGTATTGTGAAAAGCGGCGGCAGATCTCAGTGTGTGTGTGTGTGCATCTGGTCTCCAGGGTTACGGCTCTCCGCACGAGTACATCGCCACGCAGGGGCCGCTGCCCGACACCAGGAACGAGTTCTGGAAGATGGTTCTGCAGCAGAAGTCCAACATCATCGTCATGCTGACCCAGTGCAACGAGCGCCGGAGGGTCAGTTCCCATGACAACCGCCTCCACTGGCTGCCATGGTTACGGAGCGCTGTGATGAGGTGGTGTAGACGCTAGCGGATGCTAACGGTGCGTGTGCTCGTGTGCAGGTGAAGTGCGATCACTACTGGCCGTTCACCGAGGAGCCGGTGGCGTACGGGGAGATCACCGTGGAGATGCTGTCGGAGACCGACTCGCCCGAGTGGACCATCAGAGACTTCAGACTGGGATATGTGAGGACCACACTTCAGACAGACAGATATAGAGAGACAGAGACCCCATTTACACCTGGTATTAAAATGCGATCTGTATCCAGATAAGTTATCCGGATAATAAAAAACGCATGTTAATGCAAGGTGTAAACGCGTTGTGATCGGATCGTGATCGGATCTGCCTGACCACATCTGGAGGTAGTCTGGCTCGCATTGTGTCCGGATCTTTACTAGGTGTAAACGCAATCTGGTTGTTGAAACCACATATGTATATTTTACTCCTCCCAAAAATGCTAAAAACAAACGAGTGAGAGCGTGTTATATAGGCTATATGTCATGTTATAGCCTAGTCAGATGCGACACGCGACATGCATCACCGCAGATGAGCAGCTGAGCGTCTATTCAACGTGCAAACATCGCAAATAAAAGTGAAAGTAAGTCACAGACGCAGTTAACACACAATCATCTTCAAGTAAAGAAACGAAATTATCTTACCAGGCCTGTTGCCACTCTCTCTTATTGTTGTCTCTGATTTGGAAATTAGCTGATGATCAATAAATTGCCGCTCATATCTGTTGCTTTTGATGGCGTGCAATCCAATAAATCTGCATATAACGCGGGAGTTTAAGATCGGATTTATATCCGTTTTGCAAAAACACATTTATGTGGCCAGGTGTAAATGGAATCAGTACTTATTATCCGGATAACTTATCTGGATACAGATCGCATTTTAATACCAGGTGTAAACGGGGTCAGACAGATAGAGTATCCTGTGATGTGACGGTGTGTGTGTGTTCGTCCTCAGGCTGACGAGACTCAGGATGTCCTGCACTTTAACTACACGTCATGGCCCGATCACGGGGTCCCCACGGTCAACGCCATCGAGAGCATCTTACAGTTCGTGCAGATCGTCCGGCAGCAGGTCAACAGAACCAAAGGCCCGATCGTCGTGCACTGCAGGTGTGTGTGTGTGTGTGTGTGAGAGAGAGAGTGTGTTTCAGCCTCTCTGTTTGAGGCTTTACGAGACGAGACAACAGCTCTTCACAAGTGTTACTGACAGCTCGTGTGTGTGTGTGTGTTCCCTCAGCGCTGGAGTGGGTCGGACCGGCACGTTCATCGCTCTGGACCGTCTGATGCAGCACATCCAGGAGCACGAGTACGTGGACGTCCTGGGCCTGGTGTCGGACATGCGCTCGCACCGGCTCTCCATGGTGCAGACTGAGGTGTGAGAGAGTGTGTGTCGGACATGTGCTCACACCGGCTGCAGACTGAGATACACCTGTGTGTGTTGAGAGATTCTGTGTGATTGTGTGTGTTTGAGTGTGTGATTGTTGGAGTGTGTGTGTGTCTCTGAGTGTGAATGTAAATGTAAACTGCAGAAAGGTGTGTGTGATGGGCAGGTTTAGTGTAAGAGGAGAGAATATACAGTTTGTACAGTTTTGCACCCATTACGTCCCCTTAAAAACACTGTGTGTGTGTGTGTGTGTGCGCAGGAGCAGTACGTGTTCATCCATCAGTGTGTCCTGCTCATGTGGAAGAAGAAGAAGCAGCAGTCGCACACTAGTGATGTCATCTACGAGAACGTCAGCAAGTCCTAATGAAGTGAGTTCGGTTTCACGACCAAACGCACCCGGAGTTCGGTGTGTGTGTGTGTGTGTGTGTTCGCACCGCAGGAACGATGTTAGCTCCAGCTCTATTTCCTCCTCCAGAGTCGCTCTAACCCAGCTCTATAGGAGCTACAGCGGCGGTGGTGTTCGCTAATTGCATCCACCAGCATCCGCCATTATTAAAATAGGCTAAATAGGCTATTCTCTACCCTAGTTTTGAGCCTAGCTGAAAAACGCTCGGTTTTATGGGCGTCTCGCACTGAAGACTTGGAAGTAAACGCCCACTGCTGTGAGTGGAAAACAGTTTTGCATATTATAATGAGTTTCGACTCACCCGTCGATGCACTTCATCATCATCATCATCATCGTCACTGCTGAATCTGACACCCCAAAATTTTTGGGGGACCGGCCGACGGCGCCCCCGGGCCTTGCCGGGCGCACCCCGACCCCCCCGGGGGGGCCGATGGGAGGAGCCCGAAGTTTTGGGACCCCCGAGGCAGTTCCGCAACGGCCCCCTCGGTGGAGCCACCCTCGAAATGTCCCACGAACCCACTATTCATCCGACCGACCACCGCTTCAACAGGGCGTACGGCGACCGGCCCCCCGCCCACTGACCGGTCCCCGGACACGCCCCCGTCCCACGAACCCACTATTTGTCCAATAACCCACTATATATTTTTTTTTTACGTTTTTCCGCAGTTCATGGAATAGAGAGCCTAAGTCCCGCCCCTCCGCTTCCGGCTCATGGGACCTTTTTCGGAAAAAATATGAATGGTAGTCAATGGCGAGAGACAACTTATCTTTTTATTCCGTCTGAACTGTGCCCTCAATTACACACATGATGTTTTTCAATTTAAAAGATAATTCTGAAAGTCAAAAACGTCGCAGTTTGTCGTACAACAGAAGAGTAACATTTAGTTTTATGTGAAAATCGCTCTGTGAACTACATCTCCCGGGAAGCGAAACGAGATCCGCTGCTCGTGTGTGTGCCGTCTGGTACAAAACACTCGGGTACGACGGCGTAACGTTACGATTATAACGTAAGACTGTAGAAACAATGACAGACAGCCTCAGTAAAGTTAGCTTCATTCATTGGGAGAAAATGTGCGCCTTTGGGGTTTGTAGTCTTTGTAATTACGTATTTTCACAGTCTTATACCTCAACGGTTTTACATCAAACTGCGACTTTCTTTACTTTAAAATGTCTCTTTTAAATTGACAAACATCATATGTGTAATTCAGGGCAAAATTCAAACCAGATCAAAATATTTGTTGTCTCTCGCCATTGACTACCATTCAATATTTTTCCGAAATAAGGTCCCATGGTGGTCGACCGGAAGGGGAGGGACTTAGGCTCTCTATAAGCTGCAATTGGACGCGGTCCCACCGGCAATCTATTGAATGGGGATTCGGGTAGTGTATTTTTTGGACATTTTAATTAAAGTTCCTGTCATGATAAAAACTATTTTACTGCACAGGGGCCCCTGAGTCTGTGGCACCAAGCGCCATCCCATAATTCCACCGTCCACGAACCCACTATTTTTATAATGGTATAAATGCTATGTGGGAATGTCCATATCTCAGCTCTGGAAGGGTCTAACAATCCTAAGTGAAATGAAGAGAGCAGACGGACATGTTTTACCTCATCAGCTGAATAGAGAATATAGGAATACAGTCACAATATTCAACGTCATAATATTCTGTATTCCTATAGCGCTGGGTTAGAGCGATTCTGGGGTAAATTAGTTCCTGGAGCTAACATCATTCCTCGTTCCTGCGGTGCGAACACACACACGCCGATAGTTCCTGTAATGATGAAAAGGTTCCTCGATGCGAAAGCAAGTGTGAGCTCGGCGTAACGCTGACGTGTGTCTCGCTGTGTTTCCTCCAGGTCTGACTCACGACACCATCGCCCGGCGCCCGCAGAGGAGACTCTCACACTCATTTCCTCCCCATACAAGCTCTTATTTAACCACCAAACAAATCAAATGCCTTAAAAAGACGAGCTGCCTCGTTCTCCCGGCCCGACGGACCCATCAGCATCTAGTGTTTTAGTTTGTGTGTTAATCTCAGGATCATCTGCGCTTGTTTTAGGCCGGTGTAAAGTGTGTGTTGTGAGTTTATATCGCACTCTGCCTGTAATAGAGTTAGTTTTCACGTCTTCAGAAGAAGCCGAGCGGTTCGAAAACAGCGTTCTGGACCTTTAACCTCCATCACTGCCACACACTGATGCGCTCGAGCCGCTCGAGGGGTTCCGGACAGACCATCGTATCTGCCACTGTGTGGGATTCTTCGAGTGTGTGTGAGTGAGTGGAAGTGTGTGAGAGAGTTTGAGTGAGTGGATGTGTGTGTAAGCGTGTGAGTTTGAGTGTGTGAGATAAAGCAACGAAAGAGGGATTTTCCGAACAGACTGATGACATCTGAGGTCGACGCTGCGCTTCTGTGTGTTTCTGCTAAAGTTTCATCACACACACATCAGCCGAACCCCGACTTCGTCTGCACACACTGGATTGTCACGGAGTTGAGCTCGAGTTCACACTCGTCGTCGACTCGTTCCAGTGGCATTTGCACAATTCCAGTGAAGCGGCTGCGGTCGGACTGAATGTGAGCGTCCTCATCATCATCATCGTCACTGCTGAATCTGACACTGATGTCGTGTTGCATGCTGCAAAATGAAAGACGTGAGATTAGTCTCATCTTTAGGTTTAGATTCGAGCTCAGAGTCCCAGCTGACAGGAAACGCTTCAGAATTAAAATCTCCTGATAATTTACACACACACACACACTTTCTTCAGTGGAAAAGAAATTAAGAACACACTCCTGGATTTCTCCATATAGTGACTGCACGTTCGCTCTGTAAACACTGGGTCGGTTCTTCAGTATATCCTATATATACAGTATATCGGGAAATTCATATCGCAATTGCTTGCAATAACTGCGGCCGTGACAAAAGACAGAAAATCACTCACTGCGCTCGGCTGAATCACTTTTGTAGCTTTAATAAGAATCAGTATTTAATAGAGTGAAAACTAAGCAGTGTTTATTTTTGCATTTGATTATTCAGTTTCGGTAGTGAATGAGCCTAATGTAGGATAACCTGAACTTATAACTCTTCTCATGCTTCAGTAAAACACTGATGTTCACTGTCACAAGTTGGAGGGATGATTTCTTGTCACAAAAAGAATGTGAAACGCATATCTAGGTTATATCCTTTTAAATACATTTTACATTTATTTTTCACACTTTAAGCAGTATCATATTCTATCGCATATTTCTTCAATATTGTGCAGCCTTACTTTGAAGCTGCACTGAAACTCACATCTGGACCTTCGACCCGTTGGACCCCATTGAAGACACTATATGGAGAAACCCTGGAGTGTGTTCCTCAAAAACCTTTTCCACTGAGGAAAGAAAGACATGAACATCTTGGAAGACGTGTGTGTGAATAAATTTCTACGGAGATTTTAAATCTGAAGTGAACTAATCTTTTAATAGAACGTTCGTTCAAAGTTATCTGGTCTTTAATACTGTTCTCAACACATTCATGGAAAGTTTAGTTCTAAAATATTTTTAAATGTTAAATGAAACAATGTATCCTTGTTTCAGAATGTTCAGAGAACATTCGAATGTAACGTTCCCGAAGAATGATAAAATGGAATGTTGAGCGTTTTTAAACATTTGAAATGCTTTTAGAGAACACTGAGAAACGGGAAGATTCCGAACGAAACGTTCTTCGTTCCGTCAGCTGGGCCGTTATTTCACATCGCCTGTTCTGTCCAACACACGAGTGAGTTTACAAACGTCTCGAGTTTACAGGCTTGTTTCCCTCGTCTGAGATGTGGGTTTTATAATATCAACTAGGCACTGAGCTGTAAATACTGTTTATTTCAAGAAGAAATGACAAAAGAATTGCTGTACTGTGTTAAAATGAACTGGATCATCTTGATAAGAAGGAAACTGTGGATTCGGAGCGGACGGGCCACTTCACTTGATCAGTTTTCTTTCGTTTGTGTCCAGGTCAAACTCGTTTGTCTTTTGGTGCCATTCTTGTGTATTGTGTGACTTCAAGTAGCAGAGCAATCCACAATCGCCATCAGAGTTTTAATGTGTGTTTGTTTGGAAAAAAATAAACGTTTGAACACGTATTCCTATGAGCTGTTTTGTGTCACAAACACGTTACGTTATTTTTTTCAGACTCCTCTGTGTTTTCTTTGGATTATGTTTCCACTATATTTACCAAATGTCCCGGGCCACGCCCCCGTCCCACGAACCCGCTATTTGTCCAATAACCCACTATATTTTTTAAAGTTTTTCCGCAGTTCATGCAATAAGCTGCAATTGGACGCGGTCCCACCGGCAATCTATTGAATGGGGATTCGGGTGGTGTTTTTGATAGACATTTTAATTAAAGTTCCTGTCATGATAAAAACTATTTTACTGCACTCAGAGGGGCCCCCTGAGTCTGTGGCACCAAGCGCCATCCCATAATTCCACCGCCACGAACCCACTATTTTTATAATGGCATAAATGCTACATAGGATGTCAATATCTCAGCTCTGGGAGGGGCTAGAGCCTCCATTTTTGCACTCAGGTCTAAGTCTCTTGGCCCTCTATCAGAATCCAGAGTTTCGAGAAGATCGGAGAAACTCAAAATTTTGACCCGAAAAAACACAAACACACCTGTCGACAATTTCGGTGCAAAAAAAAAAAGTTTCTCCAATCTTCTTAAAACTCTGGATTCTGATAGAGGGCCATGAGA